CAAACAAACAAACAAACAAACAAACAAACAAAGAGAAAGATAACATGATCACAATTGAGCCCACAATTTTGGTTGCTAAGCAAGAGCGTTGTTAAGTGAGTTTCACCACATTTTCCATGTTGGCCATGCCCACCCGGTCACACAACTGCCAAGCTACTCCCACGTGGTCAAATGACTGAGCCACTCCCACAAAACAGGCCACACCTACAGAATAGGTTCTAAAAAAAATTTGAAACCCACCACTGCACTATACTATTGATTGGTTCAGTTTGCAAGATAAGCAGAAACCATAATCCTGGAGGTTGCTATACGGTTAGGTATTGTTATCCAGAAGTTCACCAATAGCTTTACCACATGAATCAAAGCAAAGAAAGCAAGAATCACTGGCATCTTTCAGGCTGATTCTCAAGAGAAACTATACTTTAATAATTTGGCATAATGTAGAAGCCTATACCAATTATTAGAAGAATAACTTGTTCAAATAGAGATAACTAAAAAATAAGCAGCAACTATGATGACATCATTTTTCAAAAATAATGCAAAACAGATTACATTAATGTTTTACATGTTCTTAAGGTACACTTACTCCTATTAGGAGTTTCTATTGTACAACAAAAAATAACTTGAATGGCTAATCCAATGGCTGGAGAGGAATTTTATTATCTACTCATTTTGAGGTACAATTGACGTCATCTAGACACCCATGAGATTAAGCTACAGTTATAAAATAGAAATAGCATTTATATGGTGTATATACTGCCCCATAGCTTTTTATAGCCCTCTCTGGGTAGTAATACAATGTAGAAGTATTATTTGCATATTGCTCCCCACAATCTAGACCTCACTTTACCAACCTCGGTAAAAACCTTTTTTATTTTTTGACTACCTACAGCTTGCATGAGGTATAGAGGCTACCTTTTTCAAGCTATATAGACAGGCAGAACAATAAGGGTGCCTTTTTATATAAGAGCATCTGGGAGCAGCCTATAACATGCTGTCTTTTGATTGCTAATTGTATGGGAAAATATGTTTGTCCACATATAGCAGCATTACCAGGAGCAACATACAACAGGGAAAAAAAATTGTAAAAGAAAAAGATAATCCTGAAATTGAATATACCATAAAATTTTAATATAATTTCAGCTGCTGCAGATTCTGAAATTTTCCTGAAGACATTTTTATGGCAGTAAAAATGCACTTCTGCACTTTATGGTCAATACATTCCCTACTCCCAAAAGAAGAATCAAACCCATTATTAAATATTACATATTAAATGTTATATAGAACACAATGTTAGTTTTTTATTGTAAATTATAACTTCAGTTACTTCATCAGAGATTAATATGAAAGTTGATGTTCTAAAATAGGGCATTTGTTTTAAAATTTGCATATTAGAACAAATGTATACATTATTCTATATAAGCAGTCACAGTTATTTGCTGGCATATTATAGACATGGTAAACACGATCGTTAAGCCATTATTTGCTACATGGGTGATATGTATTTATCACAAGAAAAAGGATGTGTGAGAACATAATAGAATTATCAACTCTTAAATTCTTTTGAAAACAAAATGGGAAGAATCCCGTATCTCCCTTGATACGGTACAATAAAAAAACATAGTGTGACAGACAAGTTGTAGCTAAGCTCCCTCATACATTCTTTTACAATGAAAAATGGGATTGGCATCATTGAAGTCAACACATCCTTCTTTTCTTAGCTATAGGACTAGGCAGAAGTGAAATACTTGTTACATAATTATCATAATGATCCCCAGCAATCTTTGCAGTTTATAAATTGAGAAACAAGCATACCAAGTGGTACACAAATATTGAAAACCAGCGATTCTTTAAAAGAATATTAGTAGAAATCTCCACTCTCACAGCCTTCAAGCTGATTAAAGAAATTGTTAAAAAATTACTGGCAACTTCAACTAACATAGATTTAGAAGTTTCAGCTTCCCAAATCTAATTTTTTATTTTAGTGATTCATTTCAATAGATGTCTACTAATACCCATTTGAAATACATTATTAAATATAAAAAAATACAAACTTATATTGATTGCATATTTGAATTTTTAAAATTAACAAATTTTTGAAAAACATCAAAATCAAGAATTACCTTCCCATTTGTCACCACCATTCACATTCTTCAAATCAAGATGTGGTAAAGAGGCACACAGTGTTGCTTCAGGAGCATTGTTATTTTTGTTTTTCAATTCCTCCGATTCATTTTTCATATTTTGATCAGAAATGTTGCTAACACAATCCTGTAAATAAACAATACACTATTACAGGTCAGCAACTTCCAGCATACGTGTAAATTTTTGTTTTGTCGATTTCAGTATGTTTTCCTAACTGATAAAAAGAATGTGAACTACAAGCAAGCAATTAAGTAAACTAAACTTTTACAGATATATGCAATAGGAACCAGACAACAGAATGTCAAATACTACCTATCTGTAAAATTAAAATTAATATTCATGCAGTTAAAAAGTGAAAGTGGAAATATATTTGTGGATATATTTTAAAATGTGCCTAGATTTACAAGGGAAAGAAAAAAAGCAAGTTCTCACCAAAATCATGTGTGTCGTCATTTTGCTACCATCATCAAATGATATAAAATCTTGCCTATAAAGGAAGTTACGGAAGATTACTTCAAAACATTTATCATGACAATCCTTATGGTCTCAACTCAGTCATATCACTACAATTTAAAACAAAATAAACTTAGCTTTTGTCTAATAAACCAGAATAAAGAACTTTATACTTACAATTATCCCCCCCCCCCAATCTAGTGATATTATTAATACACACAGACATAAATACCTACACACAAACAAACCTACTATCATGGCTAGCAATACGTATGTGTATACAAATCTGTACTTATGATTTGTCAATTTAGCTATCATGATAAAGCACAGTATACAAAAGAAATGGTTTGGGAATCATTTAAAATGTTTTCTGATTATGATTTAATAATGAATAACAAATCATGGTTCCTCAATTCAAAAAATCATGGCAAACACTGTTAAGTGTGTTTCTTCTTTGTTTATTAAACTAAACCTGAATTTATTGCAAAATTCTGTTTTATTTGTGTTGAGAAATTGTAAAGAATCTGGTTTACTTGGTTTTGTGGAATTTTAATCAATGGTAACCAAGATTTATAAAATAATTTCATAATATAAAAATTAGTTGACCAAAAGAAAGCAGACTGGCTGAGTTGAAGAAGACAGACATTTTTATACAATATTAAATTATTTTCTTACTTGGCTCTGGGCTTTTTCCTACTCTGAAGGCAACGATCACTAAAGCTATGTTAAATTAACCTTTCTGTATCCTGTAACACAAAATAAGGTTAGAATCCTTGCTCTAATACTATCAACTCACTAAATGTACTCAGTCCTAAATATTCTAAGTATAGACATTTTATCTGTTCTCCCAGCAACAGATAAATGTCCTCATACTAAGGAAACCAATTCTGGAAAAACAGTTCCTCATAAAGATAACCTTAATAAAAAGTATCTTGCCCCAGACCCAATGTTCTCATGTATACTGCAGTACATACTTATTTCCAAAGGATTCTTTATCTTCACCTCCATCATCACATGGCTTCAACAATACGCCTGCAGCCTATTGGTGAAAACAAAGACCTTAGCATGGTAACCACCATTATGTTTAAGAAAGGAAGAAAGCTGCAACATTCTGTGGTTCTAAGGGAATTTTTTTTTAAAATTAAACTACTTAGTTACTTTAACTTCTGGGGGGAACCTTTATAAGTGCCCTGCTGAAGTATGCTAATGTAGATCAATTTGAGGCCGGAAGATGTAAACAAAATATTAACAACAAGGATTCTGAGGACTTGTCTCAGCTTATGCAGAATGAGCCATCTGCTGGACTCTAAAAGATACTATTAATCCTTGTTACTAAATAAAGCCGCAACATGGACAGAACATTGCTAGCAGAAAGCACTCATGCCACTAATAAAGAAACACAGTTAAAACTGGCTTATCTGTTAAATTTTAATTTAAAAATCTGTGTTTAATACAATGAGAAAATCACATTAAAAGTGATTATTGACTAATCCTTGTGGACAGCTGATAGAGAAAAATACGCAATTCACTGCTAAGCAGTAATAGCACTTCTTAATATAGCCTCTCCTCTGCCCCTTGGATCTGAAGATAGCTAAACATTCTTCAGATAGTTTTAAATCATTCGCTCTTTTCCTTTTTAAGTAAAGCACATTTTATACCCATGATATAAAATGAGGGTGGTATTCAGTTCCCAAAGCCCTAATCCAAAATGCTGAAAACATGTATTTTTAAAAAATTATTATTTATTTATACATTTTCTCTTTAAATACGTAAGTGCTTTGTAAACAACGCGTTGTTCCAAAATCACACAAGAAGTTCTGGAAATTATATTCCAGATGAAACTTGTTTATTTGGGATATTACAACTCCCAAAGCACACTGAACTGCCTCCAGTATGGAGAAATCCAAAAACAAACTTCATCAAACCACCCTTGAAAGGGACAATCTTCAGAAAGTTAGCATGGCTTACTGGAACTGCAAAACTATCTTAACATTATCCAGAATGCCCTGTCTCTGGAAATTATAATTTTGTATATCCCTAATTTATTTTTTTCTATTTCTATGGCTTATATCAGAAGTCATTTACTATTATTTATAAACATATGCATTCTATTTCTTGGCTCTTTTGATTTGAAGCATTTAAAATGGTTCTATAACACTGATTAAAATAACAGCATGGTCTTATTTACATCCTTTACAATAGAAGGAAGGGCAAAACTATTGTAAAACACAACTGAAAGTTACATATATTCAAATATTTGCATTTTTCAGAAAATTCCTTAAAATAGTACATATAGGATTCTTAATGCAACTACTTTTATTAATACTTGTAATATTCATACAATGGTAGCATGCTAATATTATGTAAATCTTAGTAAAAGAAGTTAACAAATGATTCTAATATAAATATAAAGAGGAATAATTCAGCTATGCATTGCTAGGGTAGTATGGTAAGTGAAAATCCCATGCAAAACATGCTAATTTATAATGAGGAGGACTACATTAATTAATTTCCTACAAAGCTATTGTCTTCCTTTAGAAAAAGTGGTAAATTGTCACTTTTTTCCTTTTTTAATTCTGAAATTTTTCTATAGATCTGAAGCTTTTTTACAATAAAAACTCCTTTTTACCACCTTGTAATTCCTTAATTCAGGATAGAGTCAGGGTGACTGGATGGTGCTGAGACTTTACTGGCCACTCTTTTGGTCTTTTTATAAATATACAAAAGTTTTAGGCAGGTGTGAAAAAATGCTGTAAACAAAGAATGCTTTCAAAAATGGAAGTGTTA